CTGAGTCCTCTCCAGACTCCTGGACTGATCCCCTTTCTTCCCCACTATCTGATTCCACTGCTGTCTGCACAGGCTGAGGGAGAACCACAACACAAGGGGACAAAGGAGTCACGACTGTAGTCACTGACAAAATAGTTTCATCCTATTCATACTTAAAAGTAGCTGTGCAGATTACCAGTCAAGAATTAAAGGAAATATAAACTGACTTGCAAAGTATGTTGGTCCTTGCTCTTTGTGGACAGATTACAGGTTGTCCTCGACTTACAACAGTTCACTTAGTGACAACAGCACTGAAAAAACTGACCGTTTTTCACCCTTTTGACCATTGCAGCATCCTCATGGTCATATGATCAAAATTCAGGTGCTTGGCAACTGCATTTATGATGGTGGCAGTGTTCCTTATGACCATTTTTCGCACTTATGACCATTGCAGCATCCTCGTGGTCATGTGATTTACATTGGGATGCTTGACAACTGTCTCACATTTATGACAGTTGCAATGACCCAGGGTTATGTGATTCACTAAACAAATGTGACAAGAAAAGTTGTAAAATGGGGTGAAACTCAATTAACAAATTGCACGCTTAGCAACATAATTTTGGGGCTCAATTGTGGTAGTAAGTTGAGGACTGTGTATATTTAGCTGCAGTTTTATGCACAAAAAGGAAACACTCTATCCTTCTAGATTTGCAAGATATCCTAATATAACCCCTAAAGCCAGGAACCATCATAAAGCACTTGGGAAAGGTGTTTTTTTTTCATGTTCTGTTCCAAATCAGAAAAAGAAATGTTGCAAAAAAGGGAGGGAAATAACAACATTGGAGATAGACTGCCGTTGCTGTTGCCACTTCTTTAGTTAGCTGCAAATAATTTACTTAATAGTTTATTTAATAATTGTTTGATAAGTTTCATTACCTGCAAATTATTTATGATATGATATATAACCTGTCACTTCGTTATTTAACACTGAGAGCTTATGCACCAGAGACAAATTCCTTGTGAGTCCAATTGCACTTGGCCAATAAAGAATTCTATTCTATTCTATTCTATTCTATTCTATTCTATTCTATTCTATTCTACTCTACTCTACTCTACTCTATTCTCTCAAAGGTGCTTTTTCAAAAGGCAACTGGACTTTCTGGTTTTTCTTTGAAGACATTTCGTTTCTCATCCAAGAAGCTTCTTCAACTCTGAAACTTCTTCAGAGTTGAAGAAGCTTTTTCGATGAGAAGTGAAAAGTCTTCAAAGAAAAACCAGAAAGTCCAGTTGCCTTTTGAAAAAGCACCCTTGGGACAACCATGATCTGGATGACTGAGAATCTCCATAGATTTTTCTGTTCTATTCTATTCTATTCTATTCTATTCTATTCTATTCTATTCTATT